CTGGGGCTTTACAGAAATGAGGCAATGCCAGCCACTCCTAGTTATTCTGATTCGGTCCATCTGAGCGAGAACCAGGGAATCTGTATTTTACAAATGTTCCCAGAGAAGCACTGGCTGTAATATAAAAAGCCTAAAAGCAGGGCCCCGATATCTCCTCTGGCCAGTTCCCACCCAGCTCCAGTCTCCTGGGGACATGGTGCTTGCAGTGCTGCCTGCCTTGCCTACACGTCGGCTCCTCTGCCGGCAACGGTCTCACCTCTCTTCACCGCCTAGCAAATACCGAGCCTTTAACATCCAGCTCAGAAGTCTCCTCCTCTATGAAGACTTTCCAACTTCCCAAACATGGCCACACCCTCAGTTCCCCGAGCTCCCATAGTTTGCTTTTGATTATGAAATAATCCGCACACTGAAAAACAGACCAGCACAACACGACAGCTTTTTCCATTGCCCTGTTACAGCTCTCCTCGAGAGAAGCAGAATTATCTGTGTTTGTCTTTTCCACTGGCAACAAGAATTCCTCTTCCTCCTCTGATGATTCCCAGGCACGGGATCTGGCACACAAGGTGCTCAAACAATGTTTGGTCTAAGGTTATTTGCAGCTTTAACTCTGTGGCTCAAAGATGGCCTAGGTTCTTTTCCATGAATCTTCAGAACAGAGACGAAGAAGGACTCTGTGCTAAGTAATTCTCACTTTGAGATGAAGTCCATTTCTTCCTGCTCTGGACTAAACCTGCCTGTTATTGTTCATGCTGGTAACTGAAGGCTGTTTCCATACCAGACCTGATATTTTTAGCACTCCTGTTATGATAAACTCACACTAACCTCAAAAAGAACAAATCAAAGTCAACTTTTTGCCACAGGAAACCAGCTCATGCTTAATGTTTTGCAACATGCCATGGGAGAATAATAAAAAGATGAGACCTTTTGCTCACAGATGGCGAGGCCAACGCTCAAGATAGTGGAAAAATGCAGCAGGAAGCGTTCAGTCTGGCCACTATCTTATTAAGTAAACTGGAAAAACACTCAGCACCCAAACAAGGCAAACACACGCACATGGACGGCGGGGCAGCTGCTTCCCCAGACGCTGAATCGTGTACGGGGCAGTAAGAACCATCTACATGTGAGGGGCGGGCTGGGGCCAGGACGGCACTGGAATCCAAAGCCTGCTGGGTGCCCGGGGAAGCAGACAGGTGAGAGGATCCTGCGGGGTCACCAGTGGGCTGGCTGCTCTCCCTCTAGAGTGGAGTAAATGACCAGATGAGCAATACCAGTCACTCATGCCAAAAATACTTATCAAGCACCTACTATGTGCTCCAATGGTGAAACCAAGTCAGGTTCCCTGTAAGGTATTCTCAGGTGTGCATCACAGCCAAACACCTTGTCCTCACTAGGAATTCCTGAGGCAGGTGGATCAGTCACATTCCTAGAAGGGTCTGGGAAACAAAGTCCAAGGACTGGGAAAAACTAAAAACGATTTACGTGACTTTCAGGATGAGACTGGTCACAAGACCTGTCTGTACACTTAAAATGGGCAAACTTTCTGTTACAAATCATACCTCAATAAAGTTGTTAAAAGCATAAAAATAAAAAATACAGAAAAACAAGATACACTTTCACTGACTATTTAGAATGAGAAGAGATTTCAGAGAGAGGCTGGCTAACATAGTCCTCCCATTTCTATAGGCGAGGAAATAAAATCCTAAAGAGGCAAACTGACTTATCTATGCCCAAGGTCACAAGGACAGATGATGGCAAGTGTATTTGGCAGAAGGCAAGTTCACCTGTGGAAGCTGCTATGTTCTCCTGGATAAGTCTAACAAGGTCAAATTACAGGAGAATCTCAGTTCTATGAATGGCTGAGTAGAAAACTGAAATAAGTATTTCTCTGAACATGAGAATAAGGTGCCCGGCCAGCGTGGCTCAGTGTTTGAGTATGAATCAGAAGGTCATGGTTCGATTCCTGGTCAGGACACATGCCTGGGTTGCGGGCTTGATCCCCAGTGTGGGATGTGCAGGAGGCAGCCGATCAATGATTCTCTCATCAGTAATGTTTCTATCTCTCTCCCTCTCCTTCCCGCTCTGAAATCAGTAAAAATTAAAAAGAGGGGACGGGCTGTGCCTGCGAGAGGATCAACATGCCTTTGGCGAGATTTACTACACCCATCCTTGGAAGAGGAAAAGAAAAAACATAAAAAGAAACGGCTAGTTCAAAGTCCAAATTCTTATTTTATGGATGTAAAACGTGCAGGTTGCTACAAGATCACCACGGTTTTCAGCCACCTCAGACGGTGGTTCTTTGCGTAGGCTGCTCAACAGTGTTGTGCCAGCCGACAGGAGGAAAGGCTAGACTCACGGAAGGATGTTCATTTAGAAGAAAGCAACACTAATGATCCACACAGCTTCCTGAATTTGGGTTAGATCACAAAAAGCCTTATCAGTTTAGTAATTCTAGTTAATCTACCAGGATGATATAATTACATTTAATTTTGTAAGTATACAACAGTGATCTCCTATTTTGGTATCAATTTTTCAATAAAGTTTTGATTATGGAAAAAAAAATTAAAAAGAGCTCTTTTCCGGTTTTTGCAGCGCGAGGAACCATGAGCAGCAAAGTCTTTTGCGACACCCTTTATGAGACAGTGCAGGAGGTCCTGCACGGGAACCAGGGCAAAAGCCGGAAGTTTCTGGAGCCAGTGGAGCTGCAGATCAGCCTGAAGAACTATGAGCCTCAGAAGGACAAACGCTTCTCGGGCACCGTCAGGCTTAAGCCCACGCCCCGCCCCAACTTCTCCGTGTGTGCGCTGGGGGACCAGCAGCACTGTGATGAGGCCAAGGCCGTGGACATCCCGCACATGGACATCGAGGCGCTGAAGAAACTCAACAAGAATAAGTAACTGGTCAAGAAGCTGGCCAAGAAGTACGAGGCCTTTTTGGCTTCGGAGCCTCCGATCAAGCAGATCTCACGAATCCTGGGCCCAGGCCTGAATAAGCCCGGCAAGTTCCCTTCCTTGTTGACCCACAATGAGAACATGGTGGCCAAAGTCGATGAAGTGAAAACCACAATCAAGTTCCAGATGAAGAAGGTGCTACGTCTGGCAGGGGCTGCTGGCCATGTGAAGATGACAGATGATGAGCTTGTGTACAACATCCACTTAGCTGTCAATTTCCTGGTGTCGTTGCTCAAAAAGAACTGGCAGAACGTTCAGGCTTTGTACATGAAGAGCACCATGGGCAAGCCCCAGCGCCTGCACTAAGGCCCAGCGTAATAAACCATACTGCCACCGTTAACAAAGAATGAGTTGATGTGCTCACAGAGTCAGCTTAATGCTTACAAGCTGAGGTCTCTAAGCTGCTGGCAGGAACCAGGGAATGAGAACATAAGAGCATGTCGCTTTACTTCCAGAACCTTACTTAGTCCACCAAGCAGTCTGGCAGGCAAAACTGCCCCTGGCTAGGAATCACCACATCATGGTAAACTCAGATACCAGTTGACCAACATGACTAATTTATAAGAAGCAGCTATACCCAAAACCTTTGCAAAAGGACAACTACTATTTACTGAGGGCTTTCTATGCGCCGGGCACTGAGCAGTTAGCTTCTCCCAAAGGGCTGACCCGATGCTCACTCTGAACTCCAGGCAGGAGGGTGCTGCTGTGACTCCAGTTAGCACTTCCTTGCTGAACTGCCCCAGTCCTTAAAGGGGCTATTTTCTGAGTCCTACACTCACATGCAAAGACTCATTCCTACTTAACCCATTTTATTATTTCTATACAAATGGATATTAAATGCTTCAAAATAGTTGATCCCCCAACTTTCCTTGTCCCCAATTGGGTCAACACCATTAATTACTATGGGAAGAGCTTTACTCATAAATAATGTAAAGATAAACTTTAGCCCTGTCTGATCTCACTAGTTTATTAAGGAGGCTTTATACAGCTTTATGTATTTCCCTTTGGAGAGCTAGCACGCATTTCGTCTGTGCTGACTTGGAGAGGGAGTTCCTGGAGTCTGCACAGACCAAGGGAAGGAAGGAGGGATGCAGCTCCCCTCTCTTCTCTGGGGAAAGAAGACCAAATACTGTCTAAATGCAACCAAAAATGCTTGGTAGATTTTACAAAGGAAAGCTACATCTCCACCTCAGAGTCTCCCTGCGAAAGGGTGATGGTTCTGCAGAGATACTGACCCTTGCAGGCCTGGGTGAACACATGGCGCCTGGGACAGGTGACTGAGGGCCTCCAATACCGTATCTGTGCTACACGAACTGGGGCGTGGAAAAGGAAGGAAGTTGGGGAGCACATCCCCAGAAGGTCAAGCTGATTTTTTCTCTCTACTTTTCTGGCATTTTCTGCAGTAAATATGAGTTATTTTTACACTAATTAGCAAACTGGTATTTTTACATGTGCTTGCAGTGTAACTGAGAATGAGTGACCTTTCTCTCTCTGTGCCTCAGTTTCTTTGTCTGTAAAAAAGGGTTAGTAATAGTATCTAGCTCCACAGCTTGTGCTAAGCACTCAATGTTAGTGATTATTTTTAAAACAACATTAAAAAAATTACTTAAAAGTGCCAAGCAGAAGGAGCCAAACAATACTTAGCTAACAGTCCCTGCCGCCCCCCTACCCCCCGCCCCAGTAAGGAGGGAGGGAGGGAGAGAGGGAGACCTTTCAGGAGAGGAAAACTGGTTTGGGGGCCAAGGAAGAACTCTGTAGAGGGAGAAGCAGTGCTGAGAAAATGTTTGATTTATGACACTGTTATCTCAGGATCAACTTTAGAGGGTAGGTCATTTCAACAAATAAAGATTTTTAAAAAGCAAAAATCATTAAGAAACCAGAGCTCCATGATGGTCCTCGTCTCCATTCGCTCAGGTGTGTGGCCACTGAGAATCCACTAATGAGGAACCTAACTCAGGGCGAACATCGAGAAACCATCTGGACTCTGCAGCCACATATGCAGAAATCAAAGCCCAGAGCACTCCTGGCTCACCGGAAGCCGCGAGCCCTCACCTTGAAGGAGAAAGTAATCCGAAGTTGTGCGCTTCAGAGCGGCCTTTGCTTTGTCGCTGCTCCAGTCCACTTCCAGTGCTTCTTTAAGGGAGCAGAAGACCACTTTCTGTTGAAAAAAAAGGCAAAACTGCTTAGGGATAAACTATGCTTGGCTTTAAATCACAAGGCAGTATAGCTCTTCACCATTTAGAGAAATGTCATTATCTAAGGTTTACTGTTCATTAAAGGAAGCTGAGGCCACTCAAATCCAATAAACGTTTATTAAGCACTTACTGAGTGCTCCTCTGGGCACTGGGACACAGCGATGAATAACATACTCCCTGCCTTGAAGGAAGACAGAGCAAAGCTAAAGCCCTAATACCATTTTGGTTCTTTCTTTAACTGGGTGTATTTACACTACAGAAATAAAAGCAAAGAAAAATATGTGTCTAGAGATATTCAATAAAAGTTTTTTTTAATAGTAAATAAAAACAAACAAAAATTAATAAATGTTTCTCAGTAGAAGAATGTTTGCTGCTGCTGATGGATGAAATACTAATAAGTAACAGCAAGAAAAAGAATAACGGGCACTAGCTGGTTTGGCTCAGTGGATAGAGCGTTGGCCTGGGGACTGAAGGGTCCCAGGTTCGATTCCGGCCAAGGGCACATGCCTGGGTTGCGATCCCCAGTGGGGGGCATGCAGGAGGCAGCCAATCAATGATTCTCTATCATCATTGATGTTTCTATCTCTCTCTTCCTCTCCCTTCCTCTCTAAAATCAATAAAATATATTTTGAAAAAAGCTATAAAAAGAAAAAAGAATAACAGAGATGAAACGAAAGCTGCAGGCTATGGAAATGGAAATGGCATTGGCAAAAGCCCTGTGGTAGGAGAAGTATGGCTAAAACCTATTAAACTAAACCAAATAATCTTGGAAAATACCATAATATATACTTTAAAATGTAAACAATTAAATATGAATGAGAAAATGGTTTCCCTTTCCTGAACAATTCCATCCAAAGTCATGTACTGGGACTGAGGAAGGGCAGGAAAGAGAGAGTGTGTGTGTGGAGGAGCTGGGGGCCTGGCTGGAGGAGACAGAGCATGATAAGAAGGGCTTCCCCAGGGACAGCAGTGAGAGAATGACTATATCCACAGACTGGCTGCAACCAGTAAATATACTGAGAATCTGGGAAGCCAGGCTTCTCAATGTCAGAGAAGAGAATTGGAAATATGGGGAGAAAACTAGAACGAAGTCTGTGGTTTTGGGGATAAACTCATTTTCAACGTATGGACAGATAAAGAAATAAATGTAGATGCAATTCCCTGAAACAAGGAAGTGCTCAAAGAATGATGGGGACATGAAACAGAAAACAGGACACAGCTTAAGGAAGTACCCACTGGTCAAATCTGGAACAATTTGAGGGTAAAAAGAAATAATAATAGATTGCAGCACTTAAAATAAACTAGAATCCATTAGTCCACAGACCTAAAATTAATCAAGTTTAATGAGGAATGGGATATTTACATATTTTCAAAATACCTCTCTATAAAATACATATTAGTCACACAGGGAAAAGAGGAATTGTATTCAAAGAAGTCTGGCAGACATAATCTCACTCAAATGATGAAAGTGAACATTAGCAGTAAAGGGCATGTGGAAATCACGCGCCAGACCACAGAACGTGATGAGAAGCATCCGTGCCGTGATATTTTTGCCAAAATGTGTAGCTGGAATCTAATCATAAGGGAACATCAGATGAACCCAAACTAAGGGACATTTTACAGACTAACTGGCTCGTAATCTTTAAAAGTGCCATGAAAATCTAGATGCACGCATGATCCCGAACTGGACCCTTTGCCAAAGGGACATGACTGGGGCAACTGGCAACACTTGAATGGGGTCTGATCCGACAGTGATGATGTAACTGGATGAGTTTCCTAATTTTGATGGTTGGGTTGTGGTTATGAAGGAAGACTTGTTTGAGAAAATACAAACTGAAATATCTGGGAATGATGGTTGGGGCATTATGTTGGCATCTCCCTGACAGTTCAGGAAAAAATGGTTCTCAGTACTAGTTACTTTTACTGGGTTTAAGATGGGTGTGTATAAATAATTTCAAACTTACAGAGGTATGGGTCCTCTCTTCTCTTTCTCTACACACACACACACACACACACCCCGGCATCGTACAAATCCCTCCCCTCCTCCCTCGATAACAGAGAGAGAGAGAGAGAGAAAGAGAGACCGACTGACTCAAAACAACAAGAGTATAATTTAGGAGGCTTACTGAACCAAGATCTATCAGCTACCAGGCAATTTACATAGCTTATTAAGGACCAAAATGGATATTATAAATGAAATTCCAAATTGTTAATGAAGATTAAACACACTCGAAGTTTACTTTTTCTTTTAATCCTCACTTGAGGACATGCTTAGAGAGGAAGGGCGGGGAGAGGGGGAGAGGGAGAGAGAGAGAGAGAGACATTGATGGGCTGCCTTCCATATATGCCCCGACCTGGGATGGAACCCACAATCCAGGTATGTGCCCCAACCGGGAATCTAACCAACAACTTTTCGGTGCATAGGATGACCAACTGACCCACATCAGCCAGGGCAAAACAGTCAAGGTTTTTTAAAAAAAGTGTTTTTATTGATTTCAGAGACAAGAAGAGAGAGAATCACCGATTGGCTGCCTCCTGCATGACCCCTACTAGGGATCAAGCCCGAAACCTGGGCAGGTACCCTGACCGGGAATTGAACCATGACCTCCTAGTTCAGTGATGGCGAACCTATGACACGTGTGTCAGAGGTAACATGCGAACTCATTTTTTTGGTTGATTTTTCTTTGTTAAATGGCATTTAAATATATAAAATAAATATCAAAAATATGTCTTTGTTTTACTATGGTTGCAAATATCACAAAATTTCTATATGTGACACGGCACCAGAGTTAAGTTAGGGTTTTTCAAAATGCTGACACGCCGAGCTCAAAGGTTCGCCATCACTGTCCTAGTTCATGGGTCCATGCTCAACCACTGAGCCACACTGGCCAGGCAATAGTCAAGGTTTTAAGGTGTCTTTCTGCCTCTGAGTTGGTATACAAGATGTCCATGGTGTCCTCAAACCTTTGGGTCAATGGTCTGTTTGACCTCAAAAGATAAGTCATGTAGTCAGCCTAGTGACCTTTAGTGCCTTATACAGGCTGCCAGACCCTTCTTAGTGAGCTGTAAACACAGATCAAGCCATCAGCAGTATGCTGGGAATGCTGTCATAATGAGGAAACACAGTTTTATCAGATTTTAAAAACTACCAAGACCTTAATTCAGAGGTTCTGTAGTTTGCCTCACTAGGAACAATGCTAAGAATCCACTGGTCCGTTAAGCCACTATTGGATGATGAATGAGAAAAAGAAGTTGTGTTTTAGTCTCAGTCCCACCTCTAACCCTGGGACAAGGGTACAAATGAAAACCCACTTATCACGTCTACATGTTTAGTTATAAATCAAACTAGCAAGCTACGAAGTAAAAGATATTGTATTCTCCTGCCTTAATAAATATACCTTCTCCACAGCCATCTTGGAAGATCAGGTTCAAATTTGAGATTCTCACACTCCTTGGGGTTCTCTGCCAGGACGAGGTGCACCGGGAAAGCTGTCCCCCAGTTTTCCCTTCTCTTGTAGCTTTGTCCCCTCAGCGCGTCCTTTCCCACCAAATCCCACCCCCTCCCCCCGGGGCGTAGGCATGCAGACACTGTGGTAAAGCCAGCACTCCAGAGGCAGATCAGGGAGGAAGCCCAAAAACGCCTGGGAAGCAAGCCTGGGTTGTCTGGGTAGGAAATTCCGGGGTCCCAGGCGTCCAGAATGTGCTCTAGAACTGAGGGCAAAGGCTATGGGCTCCAGTGGACACATCTCCTTAATGCCATGGAATCCTCACGCTGTGAGAGGAAGGGCCGGAAGGGGGACAAGCTGGGACCTTCTAGAGCACGAGGGCCAAGGACTGAGGCCCTTTGCCTCCCAAAGTCTAAGGACAGAACCATCCCAGCTTTGCCACTAGGTTGTGACACCAGGCAAATGAATTTACCTCTCAGGCCTGACGGTGGCAGACAACTTTTAGGAAGTTCCCTGGTATCTGGGGAGGAGGCCCACAGTGGCCCTGTCTATAATGTGTACTGGCCCTCCAGCCACAGGTGACAGAGCCAGTGGAGGGCCCATGGCCCAGGACTGACCAATCGGAGTCTTTATCTGGGGAAGTGAGAATTTGAAAGTTGGAAGCGGAGCCATATTAATGGCAGGGCTCTTAAGAGAAGGGCCAAATTCCTACCACCAGCTGCCTGGTTTTTTACCCTTCTCAGATCACAACAGTTATTCAATGCTTCTTGTGTTACTCCAGCCTGCCTCCAATTAATGCCCCCCCTTTGTTGTTGTTAATCCTCACCTGAGAATATTTTTTCCACTGCTTTTCAGACAGAGTGGAAAGGAAAGAGGGAGGGAAGGAGGGAGAGAGAGAGAAGGAAAGAGAGAGAGAAACATCGACACACAGATGTGAGAGACACATTGACTGGCTGCCTCCTGCAGGCTCCCTTACTGGGGGTGGGAAGGGAAGGGAACCTGCAACCCAGGTACGTGCCCTTGACTGGGAATCAAACCTGCAACCCTTCGGTGCATGGGCTGAGGCTCTAACCAACCACTAAACACACTGGCCAGGACTAATGTCCTTTTTTGTTTTCCAAACTACCAAAAGTCTACTATCGACTTTCACAACAATTAAAAATAAAACAAAACTTAACCAAATCACCTAATTTGTAGTAGGACAGGTGCAAGAGGCGATGCCTGTGTCACTCAGCTCACCGGCACTGGATTTATAGAGAAAACACACTGGACAGTGCTCTCAGGGAATGAAGGCTCTTTCAGGTGAAGCGCCCAGGACAGTGTCTGCTGAGCAGGAGCATCCACCATCTACCTGGATGAACACACTGAAACGGGTAACTTTCACATCTCACTTGCCCCTTCCACTTCTCCTCCCTTGGCTCCTGGATCCCTCTGACTAGAATGCTTAACGCTTCCCCTCTGCTATCCACTCCTTCATGGGAAATCCTGAGCCTTAAGGATTTCAATCTCATAGTTCA